CCACCCGTTATCCTGATTCTGGGTTGCTTGGCTGTTCACAGGACTCAGATAAATGGGAATCAACAACTCCATTCCTTCCATTTCCCTGCCATCTGCCCTGCCACTGAACCCCAAAGGCCTCTCCGCGTTGCTGTTTTTGTGCTGTCTCTCACAATGATAGCACAAGCTGGGGCACGGTCTTGCTCTCCTCTTCTGTTCCCAATACACAGTACCTGGCACACAGCAGTGCTTAAATAATAAATGTCTTTTTCATCCATCGATTCATTTATGCCCAAAATGACATTTCTCTAGAGAGAGGTCTCTCAGAAGGTGGGCAGCATGTTTCATCAGTGGTCCTCTGGAATGATGGTTGGTCACAACACTCATCAAGATACTTAATTTTTTCAAATTTTTCTTTATAATGCTATCAGACAAACTGCTCTAAAAGTTCTGCTCACTTTACATCAGATAATGCGAGCGGAAAAGCACTTTAAGCCTTAAAGTTCTATAGAAATGATTATTTTTCATACACAGAAGGCACTGTATTTAAGATCAGATGGCAGAAAAGGAAAGGTTTGAGTTCAGATAAGCCCTAGATTGTGGGAAATGAAATCAAACAAAGGTACCTTTTATCAATCCAGTCTCCCGGTTTAAAACTGGAGTATCACACATAATCAAAGAAGATAGTAAACTACCACATTAAGAAGCAAATTTTCCCTCTCCTTAAAAAGGACATAGGTGTAAGCCTGGGAATTTTAATGGGTCCTCCTTTCTCAATTTTAGTAGGTTGTCAAAAGCATTGCAGTAATGAACCCCCACACCCACTAGAGGCCAGACTACAAAAGAGAGTACACTTCTATATGCCAGAAAGAAGAAAAACAAATTCTGGTACAGGATATTTGCAAAGGATACAGAGCCAAAGTCTGCCAGCAAATCACCTGCAAAGAGAAAGGAACAGAATATGCCCTCTTCCCATAAAAGAGAGTCAGCTAGACTGAGATTCTCTTAAACATAATTAAGCTAAATATTTATAGAAGCAATGAGACTCCACGGAGAGTGACATCATCTGGCTCATCCTTGGCTCCACTCACAAACCGCCACGTGACCCCGGCCAGGACAGCTGACTCGGTTTCCCCATTTGTAAAATCTGAACATGTTCACGTCCTGATGTTTGCTGAGTATACTTATGGAACATTTGAGGTAATCAAATCTGGTCTCCAATTATTCAGGGACTTTTGTCCATCTCCAGATCATCTGGATACCAGGAATCAAGGCAGCAGAAAGGAAAATATTTCAAACTCAAGGGTTATAACATATTAAAGTTGGATGGTAGTTGAAAAGGGGACCACTTCAACATCCTCATTTTAGATTATGATACTTAAGGCTGCACCAAATAAAACTGTGTCTCCCAAGGTCCACATTTAATGGTATTTTCTATTAACAGTGCTCAGCCTCTCACTCAAACCAGTCAATTTCAAAAAGGGTTTTGGGGTCAGTAAAGGCTAAAATCTGAGACAACTTTTTTTTTAATCTGTGGCTCAATTTTTCACCTTGAATATGCTTTATTTGTAGGTTGGTTATCAGCCTATCATAAAGCAAGCTGCCAGGCCACCGTCCGCCACTCAGTTGTGAGGTGGTTGGGGAATGCAAATTAATTTCAATGCTAGCTCACACAAAATTAGTGGAATCCTTTCTTCTGTCATGCCAATATAAAATATCAGAAAGCCAAAACAAAATGATTCTGAGATCATTTATCTCTACTACTGTAATAGATAAATAAAAGATTATTAATTTAAGAAAGGTAAAACTGAGGGTCCTGGAGACAGGAGTCAAACCTTCCCCCCAAAAGGAGGCAGGTACACAAGTTTGGAACACTGTACATATTGTAAAATTTTATTCAAGGTATGGATTTTTTTCCTTTTTTTTTAAAATTTTTGTGATAAAGGACAACTCTTTGAGAAGGACAAAGGAAAGTACAGGAGGGAATTTAGGTAACATAAAAAAAAAAATCAACACTTTTTTTAAAAAGAGGTAACTGAGTATGTCTCCCAGGTCAAGTACCATTCTTTACTTGATTCATCAGGCTCAGCATTCTGAACACATTTTTATTGTGATGCCATATAGCTCCCAAATCACAAAGTACACAACAAGGTGTTTAAAATTCATTTATTGAAAACTGAAAAGGGAAAAAAATCAAACATCTCCCCACGTAACAACAGTCTAATGTAAAAAGTACAGAAGCTCAATGAATCCAGAAATTCCCCCCCACACACACACACACACACACACACACACACACACACACACACACACACACACACAAATTCCTCATCATGGAGGACATGGAGAAATCCATGGCCAAATGAATGCTGCTCTGGCCAGAGGGAACCTCCTTGTAAAACAAGCCCTGACCTTGCTACGAAGTAGACTGGTTACAGGGTTTTAAATGATGCTGGACAATGCCTTCAGTTTCAGGATTTTTTACAAATTAAGGACTTTAAGGAAAGACCAACGAGCTATTTCTTCCTCCTTCCCTCCCAAGCATACTTCACTTCCTTCACTGTACCAAGTCTTTAATGGAGGACACCTGTCAAATAACCCAATTTTAACAACTTTACCTTCACTATGTCAACAAAGAAACCAAATTCATAAACCTTGACTTCTGGTGGCCCTCCTTATAAACTGGTGTTCAGTTCTGAGAGTCAGAAGTACCAGTTAGTTCTTAAAAGTGCGAATTCCTATGTGCCCAAAAGATTCTCTTAAAAATATCTCAGCTTTTTTTCTCCCTTGGTGGCTGAAAATGCTGTACATTTATAATTATTTTGTAAAAATTTAAGACAAATTATACCTACTACGTAATAATTTAGAATGAAACTCACATCATTCACAGTGGCATTCAAACCTACATCATCTATTACCTTTTTCTAACATATCTTTGAACATACAATCATGAGTTACTTGCCTCAGAAAGACAAATAAGTTGGCTGTATTAAGGGTGCCGTCAGTACTCAGGGAGGGTTCTTAACTTGGGGTCTGTGAATAGATTTCAGGGAGCCCATGAACTTGGAAGGGAAAAAAAATTACATCTTTATCTTCACTAATCTCTCAAGTGCAATTTAGCATTTCCTCTAATTATGGGTATAAGTAATAAAATATTATTCTGAGCAGAAGTCCATAGGCTTGGCCACATTGTCAAAAGGGTCCATGACACCAAAAGACTTAAGAACCCCCGAATTAATTAGAGAACTAGGTGGAAGAGAAGGGAAGAGAGAGACAGCACCTTATCTCCTCACCCAGGAAAGGGATATGATGACATTCTGCTGAGAAATTTTTAAAGCTGGGACACTGTTAGGGGACACACCACTAGAAATGGTTTTGATAATTTCATAAGTCAAGTGGGTCAACAATTTCTTCAGCAGTTTGCATCTTAATACTTCTACTACCATACCAGACAGCTAGTTCAGCTATGCATGACAAGAGGACAAATGAACTCAAGATAATCCAAAAGCCTAACTCTGGCTAGTTCCCAAGACACTCCCCTACCACGTCAACATAGACACGTCCCCCAACGAGAAGCAGGGCTAAGTTTCCTAACTACTAACAAGGAGAAAAGTGGCCAAACAATGAAGCACAGAAGGGCAGATGAATCACAGAGACATCTGGGCCATGCATGAAACAAGAGCTAACATTTTTATAGCACTTTAAGGCTTACAAAGCACTCTACACATATTACCTCATTTGATCCTGACAATGAAAACTGACTCCCAACAATCATGACTTTGCACAAATGTCCTGGTACCAAGACAGACCTTTCCTGGTGGACTCCAACAACTCTCCCACTATGGGAAAGAAAACGCCTAGACACATAACCCTCTACTCATAATCAAACAGGCCCTTTTCCCAAGCTCTCAAAGAATTGTATAAGATGAAGCAGGGCTATTTCTGGACCAGGTGCAAACCATTCTAGAACACTGCTCAACCCTCCTCTCCTAACTTGCCAACTAGATTTATCACAATTTAAGGCAACATTTCAAAGTCTGAGTAAGGGGAAGGAACAGGGAAAAGAAAGGTTGATATACTCAGCTGAGCTTCTAGTAGACTGGAAAGCAGGCACGGAAGATGAGCACAAAGTTCAATGGAGAGGTGGGAAGACTGCTACCAAACCGTCCCCCCTTAAATTAGCCTTGGTACAAATGCTAACCATGTTTCCATTCCAAGTAAGGACCCAACAGGTCAAGTCGTGATATCCTCGAAAGCCGCTGTCATGTAACCTACATGCTAATTCAACATTTCCATTCACGTCCCATAGGCAGAAAAATCAGTAATGGCTGGTCAGGATGGATCACATCACCTCTCAAACCCAGGAGAAAAACCGAAAATGGACTGTGTTCAAGTATCAAGAGATTTACAGTAAATCCATCCCACTCTAATCTACCACTATGCTGCAAAAGGGGCAGAGTTTGCACATAAAAGTAATCACTGATGCAAAAGGGGGTTGAAGAAGCCAAGAAGCTCTTCAGATGGAACCGCTAACTTGCCCAAAAACCAAACACTGAAGCCACACCACGTGATTCCATGGAGGATCTCAACCTAACCGTAAATAGAACTGCATGCTGCAGACAGTGCTGTGTCCTAGTTTTTCCACAGGAAAATTGAAAATCCTGTCAACTGTTTGATCACCAATGTTTTGGCTTTTGTTGGCAATGTGGATCAAATTCTCACCTCAGTAAAAAGAAAAGCTAACCACAAATTTCAAGATTAGTGTAATTAAACCACTGTGCCACAATGGACCTGCTGGTATGAATTTCTCTCTCCTCCTCACTAGGAAACTTACAGGCATAATACTTTCCACGTGTAATTTTTTTTTTTTTTGCAATTTCCCATTTACGTTGATCTAGCCTGTAATCAAAGAATGGCAGAACATAATAATCAAAAGCTTCTGGGGCAGCTAGGTGGCGCAATGGATAGAGCACCAGCCTTGAAGTCAGGAGGCCCTGAGTTCAAATCCGGTCTCAGACCAAACCCTTGACACTTACTAGCTGTGTGACCCTGGGCAAGTCACTTAACCTCAACTGTCTTTTGAAAAAAAAGAACAGCTTCTGAGAAACCAAAGCCCCCTCAACAGTTAGTGCAGATCAGCCCCTACGGAGAAGTACTAGCTTGGAAGGTGGTGGCCCACCTGAGCCTTCCTGCAGCACACACCTACCCTCCATGACTACAGCATTCCCTACGGCCCAACACAAGCTATTCCTCAGCCAAAGCAGAGACTCACAGTCCAAGGATGGACTGTTACTAAGCTATTTTAATCAATGATCATGGGACTCCCTTATTGACACAAACCAAAAAGGCAGAGAACAGAACGTACATTACAAAGGGTTTGTGTTGATGCTGTCGCCCTGAATAGAAAAGGGACAAGGGTGTACTGACAGCATACTGCAGTAATGACTCTGAGGGAGTCAGCAATCTATTAGGTGAGGTATAAGTGTCTTATACCTTTTTCAGTGAATTTATTTAAACAAGGCTGAAAGAAACCCAAAAGGTACACACAACTAGCGCCTTCAACAACCCTTAGCTTTTTACTTTCTCCAGAATCACTGCCCAAAGCGTCAGGGTGAGAGAGATGTTAAGGCATTTCTTACAGTCGGTTTTGTCAAGCAAAGAACAAACATATCTGGTACAAAATACTTCATTTCTGCTTCAGGCTTTGCCTCTCTGCTTTACTAGGAGAAGAATCCTGGGCAGAAAAGTCCTTTCGGATTCTGTGATTAGAGAAACAGGCTTCTAAACTCCTGGGGGCAAAGTAACCAGTGGCTCTTAGTTCTTAGGCACCTCAGCACGTCCTCTATCAAGTGACCACCAGTGCTCTCTCCGGGAGCAAAGAAGGGCTCTTCAAAATAGCTTTTCAGTACACGACTCTCAGAGTTTTATGAGAATCTAAGACAAATAAAGGATGAGCTGATTCAGGGTGGTGCCCAGGACACTAAATCTGGGACAGTTTTGTTTCAGATTGAAAAACGCCAGTCAGGAGCCGTCACCACATGAACGGAAACATGGAGGTGTTTCATGGGAAATCTAAGGCAAGGGTCTAGTCCCTCCTCAGCAAGGACACCGGCAAACCACCACCCCTTCCACCAAGGCCAACCGCCAAATGGAAGAAACTGGCCAAAAGGATCCGAGAGGACTGGTAACAACCACCTGTGCCACACACAGAAAAGAAGGGAAAAAATGAGCACTCTCTGCAAGAGTCTTATCAACGCAGGAAAAAGCCCCGCTTGGCTATCTCAAGGCAAAATAAAAGGCTGAAGATCATTCTAGAAAGCAAAGGTAAACCCTGGGATTTAGTCATGGTTCTTAATAAAACAGTAAAAATAATGGCAATATTAAAATAGGATCCTGAAAATGGACAAATATTTACTCTATCATGAGATATGCCATCCACAACCAAATGTCCATGATGGTGAAGAATGCTCAGGTGAGAAACAGTACTCACGGCAGGTAATTCATAAAGTATTCAGTATGTCTTGGGGCAAGGTTTCTCAAACCTTAAGACTTAATTCTTATACAAACAAAAGGCCTTTGAGGAGGATGCATTTTGATTGCTAAACAACTTTAGTGGAAACTAGCACCAATCTAAATAGGTTACAATTTTAAGTGATTGTGACAGTGGTTGTCTTAAGATGCAAATCCCTAGGTACATCCCTTACACCTTGTACTCAGAGAATTATCCGGCCTAAAGTCTCATACCTAGCTAGTATCAAAACACAGGGGTATAAAGCATGGCATACACAAAAATGAATGTAATGTTAGCTCTTCACAGATAGCGACATGGAAGTGAACTGTGAAGATGGTCGTCTGAACTAGGGCACGGATGATACAGAACACGAGGCGAGCTTTGTGGGGAACAGGAAGAGGGGGAGCAGACTCTATTTCTTCTTCTAACTCTACTTTGTACTGGTACGTGGTTGCTCCTCCAAGAATCTCAGAGCACTCTGACATTCAAGCGGCAAGTATCATCAGCTTCGTTTTACAAATGGAGACGCTCAGGCTGGAGGTTAAGTGCTTTGTCCAAAGTCTAAATGAGGCAGCAGAAGAACAGGGAAGGAAGCCCAGGCTTCCAAACTCCAAAGCTGGCATTCTGGCCACTGGACTTTACTGCCTCCTGATAGGTTCTACTTACTAGAAATGGACACACCCAAGCTGAATAATTCATATTCTTGTCTTCCAAAGAAATCCAGCTCCAGACAGCCTGCTCCATCCCCTCAGCTCTACCAGTCATCAGCTTTGTTGTTTGTTCCAAGGCAGAACGGCCATCAGGGCATCCGTTTTCTGATCCATTCTCTACCGACTACAACAAGACTCATCACCGTGTACGTCAAAGAGATTTCTGACATGACAGTGCAAACTTCCCTGTTTTCCCTGGAAAGCTGCCAGAAGCCAAAGCCAGGCTCACCCCCCCTCAATCTAACAGCTCCTCTCAGTCTTGTTCTGATTTAGCTTTGTACTGTATGTTTAAGTGGCAACATGCTCAATGTTCTTCTCCAAAGATTACTGGCAAATATACAGGTCTATATTACACACTACACAGAAAGGACTTCAAGGAAGGGTGCGTGAGTGTACACTTCTTTGACAATAAAGTGTGCATTTTGGTAAAAAGGCCTTATTTCAAAAGTGCATGCTGCTTCGAGTCATAGACACCAATGTCTGCAAGTCTTATCTCATCCCCCCAGAAGCCAAAGGAGCTGAGACATTCCCTTCCAGCAAGCCTCTCTCTTTGAGGAGGAGGAGACCATCAAGTTGTCAACGACTGAATGTTCTTGAGCATCTCATCAAAAGCCTCTGGGGAAGGGGGCTCGGCATTCTGGAAAGTGGCCTTGATCCTGCTGTACAGGCTGAAGGATTTCAGTTCCAGCCAGATGAACCCAAAGCGATCCTCGTCAAACAAGATGAAGATGCCTGGAGTCCTCTCCGGACTGGTGAAGCCATGGCCTGCTATCAGGCCTGTGCCATAGAAACTAAGGGGAGAGAAAAGGAAGAGCCGGTGAGGGAAAAAATAAAAGGTGACAAAGGAAAGAGACAAATGAGAAAAGTCTTTTAAAGGCACACAAACAATTTTCTGGGAGAGGGAAGAAAATATCTGAATTTTAGTCAAACTCAAACTGCCTTTAGGTAAACCTGTTTTTTTAAAAATCTGAGAAACACCATGATGACCATGCCAAAAGGGAGCTGTGTTTTCCACATGAGGGAAGTCTGAAGGACTGTGGCCTCTAACAACAGGCATCACATCAATACAACAAGCCACTCTCATGTAAAAAGGACCCAGCTCACAGCAAAGAGAAAATATGTTAGGTGACAATGATCTTTTCTAGTAATGAGGTCACTTACATGCATATTAATGTTTTAGTCTTTTTTTCTCACCTTTGTCTTTGCTAAACCTAATTACTACTGATATAATAGTAATATATTAGAACCTAAGCATTAACCAACAGCAAGTACATAGAGAATGTTTACAATAAATCAAGAGTTTTTCAAGCTCCAACGACAGACGTACCAGGAACTGGGTTAAGCAGGGGAATGTAGATGCAAAGAATGCAACAACCTCTGTTCTCATAGAGCTTGCATTCTAACAGAAGAAAAGAAAATGTCTACACATAATGACTAGGTAGAGTACAACAACGGGTGCCACGTTCCTGTTCCATCTGTGAACACTCCCAGGAAGACAGGGCTCACCTGGGTCTCATGCCAAGTTTTCAGTAGCTCTGCTTGGGCTTCCACTGCCTTTTGCTCTTTTGAGGCGGCATCACTCATAATCTTTTCCCATTCTCCCCCATGGTGTTTTACAAATCAATTTCCAAACCAGCGTTGTCCTTGGCTGCCATGGATCTACGCTTGGCAAGGAGAGGAAGTGTTTGTGCTCTAAAGAGGCTTCTGAGATCATCTGTCCTTCTTGTTGGGGTAATTGCCTTACAGAAACTTAAGCTTTTGCTAGAAATGGTGACAAACAAGGCAAATAGCTTTGCCTTTTTCCATTTCCAGTATTTTTTTTTTCAGTATCAAACAACTCATATGAATAGTTCAGGCTGAAGCTACTGTAACTTTTCAGTGTTGTCTTCTCTTTATCCTTCGAATTGGATGCGGATTTTGATCTTTACTTAATAGTCTGACTGCACAGAGAAAGTTGATTCTGATAACTCTCAGGGATTAATAATACTCCATTCATTTTGTATCTGTTAAGATAATTCACTTTATGTTTGGTTTTGTGATTTAAAAATTTATTTACTAAGTGTATATACTATGTGAACATAAAGAAGGTAATGAAGTACTAACCCCTCAAAGGTTTAAAAAAAAAGCAACTAAAACCAATCTATTGCATCAACGGCCTGCACTGTGGGGACTCGTCATGACCAGCATGCAGAAATACTGACTGAAGGCAGTGGCCATGGTCAAGCCACAGTGAAGAAGAAGAAGGTAAGCTCTCAACTACGGAACATGAAGGAATGTTCGCCTGTGCTAGAGAACAAGCTGAAAGGCCTGGCTAGGCCACGAGTCCATCCTGGGGACACAGGGAGAGGCAATCATCTCAAATCTTTTCACAGCACTACGTAAGTCTGGTGCCAATACAAAGAAGAGACACAAATCAACCCTCGCTGGTGGTCCTTCTGTGCTAACACTCTCTCATGTACCAAAGATGGGCACAAAGAGAAGTGAGAAACAGGAGGATGGGAAGAAACCAGGGACTAACTCCTAGAAATCTGTTAGCAGATCCCACAGGTCACATGCTAAGGTACTCTGTTCTGCATTGTTGAGAGGAGAGGGTGCAGCAGGGAATTCCTATGTCCAGGTGCTCTCCCAAGTACCCCCAAGTCCTGCTGTGAGGCCTCCAGAGCACAGACCTACCTGGAGAACAAGGCAGCCAACTTGACCCCAGCTCCCGGCTCTCCCCACAGTGGAGACCTAAAACTCACCCATCACCATGCAGTGGACAGGTCAGAACTTTACCACACCTACCAATTCACAACTAAGAAGGCAAAGCCTGGCCCACTCTCATCCCCAGATGGGTCCCCTATTTCTTACCACATCCGACATGTTCGAGGATAGTCTTCGTTTCTGGAGATCACGCCCGCAGGTAACACAAAAGGCTGCCCAGCCTCAGATGGAGCTGGCTCAGGGGCTGCTCGTGGCACACCTCCCACAGCCTCCACACTCTTCTCAGTCCCACCTCCTCCTTCTGCGCCCCGAGCGGGAGCGGGCACAGGCTGCTCTGGTTTCTGATAAGCGGGGCCCGGTGGACATTCTCTGGCACTCGGGCGGGCACGGCCCTGCCCTTCTTCCTGCCCTTCCTGCTGCTGCTGCTGCTCCTGACGGACTTGCTCTCGTACCTCCAGGATTATACGAGAGAGCTCATTAAAGTTACGTAGGTTCTCAACATCAGGCAGCTGGATTCGGTGCATGAGGTCAATTTCCACAGTTTGCTGGCCAGCAGGAATATTGGGATCTCCCTAAAAGAAGAGCCAAGGAATCAGAAGAACGTTTTCCAGGTTTTTCTGAAATCCGCCTACTTATCATTTCTTATGGAACAATAGGATTCCATCACATTCATATACCACAACTTGTTCAGCCATTCCCCAACTGACGGACATCCCCTCCATTTCCAATGGTTGGCCACCTGGAAAGACTTACATGAACTGATGCTGAGCGAAGTGAGCAGAACCAGGAGAACACTGCACACAGGTTCTAATTCTTCTTTACAACATGACCAATGTGAAAATATGTTTAATATGAATGTATATGTAGAGTCTACATCAGATTGCACACTATCTTGGGGAGTAGGGAAGGGAGCTATGGGGAGAAAATTTAGAACTCAAAATCTTATGAAAGTGAATGCTGTTAAGTAAAAATTAATTAATTATTCATTCATTCATTCATTCATTCATTAGAATAAATAAATGAATGAATGTTTCAGAGGGTTCATCTGTAAATCCACCTAGCCCTGAAGATTTTTTCTTAGGGAGTTCATTAATGGCTTCTTCCATTTCTTTTTCTGAAATGCGGTTAAGTATTTTATTTCCTCTTATGTATTTTTGTAAATATTCACCTATTTCCCACAGATTGTCAGATTTATTGGCAAACAGTTGGGCAAAATAGTTCCTAATTATTGTTTTAATTTCTCCTTCATTAGTAGTGAATTCACCCTTTTGATTTTTGATACTGGTAATTTGGTTTTCTTTTTTTAATCAAATTAACCAAAGGTTTGTCCATTTTATTTGTTTTTCATAAAACTAGCTCTTAGTTTTATTTATTAGTTCAAGAGTTTTCTTAATTTCAATTTTATTAATCTCTCCTTTGATTTTCAGAATTTCTAATTTGGTATTTAATTGCGGGTTTTTAATTTGTTCTTTTTCTAGATTTTTTAGTTGCATGCTCAATTCATTGATCTCCTCTTTCTCTACTTTATTCATGTAAGCATTTAGAGATATAAAATCTCCCCTAAGAACTGCTTTGCCCACATCCCTATAAGTTTTGGTATATTCTCTCATTATCGTTCTTTTTGATGAAAATTATTGATCTTTCTGATTTGTTGTTTGACTACTCATGCTTCAGGATTAGATTATTAATTTTCAGTCTATCTTTCCATGGCCCTTTGTTGCACATAATTTTTATTGCATCATGATCTGAAAAGGATGCATTTAATATTTCTGCCTTTCTGCACTGGATTGTGAAGTTTTTATGCCCTAATACATGGTCAATTTTTGTGTAGGTGCCATGTACCACCTAGAAAAAGGTATGTTCCTTTCTATTCTCATTCAGTTTTCTCCAGAGGTCTACCATATCTCACTTTTCTAAAATTCTAGCCACCTCTTTAATTTCTTTCTTGTTTACTTTATGGTTAAAGCTATCTAACTTTGAGAGGGGGAGGTTGAAGTCCCCCACTAGTATAGTTTTGCTGTCTATTTCTTCCTGTAACTCACTTAACTTCTTCTCTAAGAATCTGGATGCTATACCACTCGGTGCATATGTGTTTTGTACTGATATTACTTCATCATTACTAATATTACTACATTAGCAAAATGTAGTTTTTTTCTTTATCTCTTTTAATTAGATCTATTTTTACTTTTGTTTTGTCTGAGATCAGGACTGCTACCCTGCTTTTTTTTACTTCAGCTGAAGGATAACATATTCAGCTCCATCCTTTTACCTTTACTCTGTGTGTATCTGTCTGCTTCAAATATGTTTCTTGTGAACAATATATTATAGGATTATACTTTTTAATCCACTGTGCTATCTATTTCTGTTTTATGGAAGAGTTCATCCCATTCACATACACAGTTATGATTACTAATTGTGTCTTTCTCTCCATCTTATTTCCCCCTAGTTTATACTTTTCTCTCTTTCACCCTTTCCCTCCTCACCAGTGTTTTGCTTCTGACCACCACCTCCCTCAATCTGCCCTCCCTTCTATCACCCCTCCCTCCTTTTCTTTCCCCTTTCCCCTACTACTTCACTCCCTTCTGCTCTCCCCTCTATCCATCCCCCTCCCTTTTCTTTCCCCTCCTATTTCCCTATAGGGTAAGATAGATTTCAACACTCAACTGAGTGTGTTATTTCCTCTTTGAGACAAATCTGATGGGAGCGCAGGTTCAAACAATACTTGCTTCCCTTTCTGTCTACTGTAATAGGTCTTTTGCGCCTCTTCATGTGATGTAATTTACCCTATTCTGTCTCCCTCTTTCCTCTTCTCCCGGTACAGCCTTTTTTTAACCCCTTAATTTTTTTAATATCATCATATCAAAGTCAACTTATACCCACATCCTCTATGTATACCTCTTCTATATGTCATAATAAAGATACAGTTCTCAAGAGTTCTAAGTGTCATCTTCCCATGTAGGGATATAAACAGTTTAACCTTATTTACTGAACAGGTTTTTTTTTTCCTCTTTCCTGTTTACCTTTTTATGCTTCTCTTGAGTCTTGTACTTGAATGTCAAATTTTCTGTTCAGCTCTGGACTTTTCACCAGAAATCACTGAAAGGCCCCTATGTCACTGAATATCCATCTTTTGCCCCAAAAGATTATGCTCAATTTTGCTGAGTAGCTGATTCTTGATTGTAATCCAAGCTCCTTTACCTTCTGGAATATCATATTCCAAGCCCTCCAGTCCTTTAATGTAGAAGTTGATAAGTCCTGTGTAATCCTGACTGTGGCTCCACAATATTTCAATTGTTTCTTTCTGGCTACTTGCAGTATTTTCTCCTTAACTTGATAATTCTGCAATTTGACTACAATATTCCTTAGAGTTTTCATTTTGGGAACTCTTTCAGGAGGTGGATTCTTTCAATGACTATTTTACCCTCTGGTTCTAGGATATCAGGGCAGTATTCCTCGATGATTTCTTGAAAGATCCTGTCCAGGTACTTTTGTTTTTTTGATCATGGCTTTCAGATAGACCAATAATTCTTAAATTATCTCTCCTGGATCTATTTTCCAGGTCAGTTGTTTTTCCAATGAGGTATTTTACATTTTCTTCTATTTTTCTCTTTCTTTTGATTTTGCTGGACTCTTTCTTGATGTCTCATAGAGTCATTAGTTTCTACTTGCCCAATTCCAATTTTTAAGGCATTATTTTCTTCAGTTAGCTTTTGTACCTCATTTTCCATTTAGCTAATTCTATTCTTTAAGGAATTTTTTTTTCCATTTGGCCGACTATTTTTTAAGGAATTGTTTACTTCAATCAACTTCTGTCCTTCCTTTTCCAAACTGTTGATTATCTGTTGCATATCTCTCATTTCTTTTCCCAATTTTCCTTCTACCTCTCTTATTTGACTTTTAAAATCCTTTTTGAGCTCTTTCAAGAAGGCTTTTTGGGCTTGAGACCAATTCATTTTCCCCTTTGAAGTTCTGCAGGTAGGTATACTGATGATGTTGTACTGTTCTGAGTTTGTGTTTTGATCTTCCCTGTCACCATAGTAATTTTCTATGGTTCAAGGTTCTTTTTTGCTTCTTGCTCATTTTTTTTGGCCTATTTTGTGGCTTTTAAAACTGAGCTCTCCTCCTAGGGCACAGGGGGCACTGTTCCAAGCTTCTTGTGCTGGGGGCCAAGGCCTTGGTCACTGGCTTTGTGCACTGAGTCCTCAGGTACTGGCGGCTCACTCACTGCACTGGGGTGGCCCGGCCTAGTTGCACCTTTCGTTGCCTGGTTTCCAGGATTGGCAACTTGCCTTCTGTGCTAGAACTGGAGGCTTCACAGCTGGCCTGCTGAGCCAGGACTGAGGGGCCTCAGGTGCTGACCTGTGCTGGGGCTAAAAGCCTCCCCCCTGGCTTACCTGGACACTTTCTGCACTGGACTGTGCTTCCCTTTTACCCAAGTGAGACAGACCTTTCCTGAAGTCCTCCAAAGTTATACTAAGCTGGAAAATTGTTTCACTCCATCTTTTTGTAGGTTCTGTTGCTCTAGAATTCATTGAGAGGCTTGATTTAATGTTGCCTGGGGAGACCTCAGGCAATTTCCTGGATTCTCTGAGCCATCTTGGCTCCACCACCCCAGGGAGGAAAAATCTTGTAGAACCAACACAAACCCCACACTGTCCACCCCTTTGCTCCTATGTCACTTATGTCACTTGTATCAGTATTATGTAGTGCCATCTTTGTTCAAAGGTTTGTAGTCAAAATCAGTATAAATGTGGAGATGTGTACACTCTAGCTAAGTCAGAACTGACTTGCAATTATGCAACTAGTTTATGTTAATCCATGAAAAAACAATGTTGGGGGGAGGGGGTATATGTGCAAAGTTCTGAAGATATCTGAAACTTTTAAAGGACATCAGGATTCCAAAGAAGAGAATGTGAACCTGGGCTAAACTAAACAGCTGGGCTAATTAGTCTGCTAGAAAAGTATCTCTTGCAAGGACAGAAAAATTGGCAGGGTCGGGGTTAGGCTTCTGGGGAAGGAGCGGGGGAGGGGGGAGTACGCTACCCAAACAAAGTGGGATTTAAGGAGGGAATTATTTCTACAAATAATTCATTGGACAAAGGCTAAGATGTGGGGGTCAGACAAAGGCAAGGAAAACAGTCCCAACCTGAAATCCCTGGAAGCAAATCTGAGGCCAGATACTCACCCACCCTAACCCTTAAAAACCCTACCAGCTCTCCATGAAACTGAGGGGCTCAGAGAACAAGCAGTCACTCTTTGTTCCAAGGCTGAAATGGGGTGAAACTAGCTAGAAATAACTGTGACCTCACAGGTGGAGACAGAAGGGAAGCAATCAGAGGAATTAAAATGCTTGAGATGCCTAGAAAGGATTATTTATGTGGGACTTGACTGGGTTAAATACTGGACTGAGCCAAACTCGGTCACACTGGAGAAACATCTTTGCTCTGCACACACTCTCCTGTGGTAGGTAGCTTAAAGTGGTGAAAGCAGGACACCGCCAAGTAGAAAACTCAATCCATCTTTTGCCTGACAACTGCCTGGGCCTGGAGGGAATAGCTCCTTCTCTACAAAAATGCTTTAGTGACATTACTCATCTGAACAGGGTCCAGCAGGCCTACTGGTCCTTGACACCTCCTGAAAAACAGAGCCAACCATCAATAGGCTGGCTCCCCTTGGGATATGTGGCTGAGCCAGTCTGACTTCATCAAATTCCAGAATACAAGAGTTAGATAGGACCTTGTTGGCAGTTCCAAGGTCAGCTTTTAAAGGTCTAACCATGAACCAACAAATTTATAGCTAGAAGGGGCCTAAAAGATCATCTTTCACAACTTATTTTACAACCACTACATGACATAATAGTCCAAACAGGGTTTATAACATGTGAGCTTCTAGGACGTCATCAGCAAGGACAAGATTTGGAAAACATCTTGCCAAAGGGGACAAGAATAAGACAACAGAATTCACAGCTCCAGTAGAGAGAACAATATTCCATGTCTGTGCACAAAGTCAAGCAATTCATCCAAGGCCACCTCTTTAAAGCTGAGATCACCTATGCCAATCCTCCCAGGCAAGGGAACAGACGAATGACCCGCCAGCCACGATCCTGCTGGAGTTTAGATTCCCAAATATAACAACACACTTTGTTAAAAAGCACTAACAGCAGCAGCTGCTCTTTACACAGCACATTATATTAGTACGCTATCTCACTTAAGCCTCACCAGTGCTCTGTGCAGTAGGGACTATCTCATTTGACAGATGAGGAAACTGAGAAGCAGAAAGGCTAAGAGACTTGCCCTGGAGTCGTGCAGTGGCAGAAGTGTGACCTGAACCCAGGACTCTCCTGATTCAGCATCCCAATGATTTCACTTGTAACCAAAAGCTGGGGCACTCAGGCAAGCTAACTGCTAGCGTTCGATAAGCAGAGACTCTCAGGCTTGCTCACCCCTCCTTAAGGTCACTTGTCCAGAGATCTACTCTTACTAGATGCTGCACCCCTGGTAATGGAGGCTGGTGAGTGCACAGAACATCAGCACGTACAGATGAAGACACTCAATCCTGCAGAGCTGAGCACACCTGCCCCCAGGTCACACAGAAAGGGAGAAGCAGAGCCAGGATTCAAATCCAAGTCCTAGAGCAGTGATGGATCTGAGTTCAAATACAGGTCTCCTTACTACAGTCAAGGTCCTGCTTCAGCAAGTCACCCCACCCCCCGGCCTTGCTTTTTTCAAGTGTAAAATTTAAGAGGAGGACTCAATGATTTCCAAGGTCTTTCTCCAATCCTGATGGATCTTTCCACCACCTTGCTCAATTCCCACTGTTCCCTGACCTGATCACACCAAGAAAAGGTAACTGCTGGAAATCACTCTGAAGTCCAAGGAGCCAGCCAGCAGCACAGGCAAGGAGACAATGGCGACAGCCTTACCGTTATCTTCGTTCCTTTGGCACACTTCCCATGGAAGCTCAGCATGACAATCTCCAAGCCGTGACTCCCATAAGTTCCCTTGAAGAGGCCCGGCTTGATGAGATCATCAGGTCTTCTAGGAGGGAGGTAGATCCGCCTGTACGTCAGACAATTGCTGCAGAAGACAGCAACCAAAGGAACAAAAATCAGCAGAGCAGTGACAACCTGCAAGGCTTCTGAATTCTCGGGAGACACTATCACCTATCTCCTCTTCTCTAAGCTTCTTGGGATATCATGGTTTGTTTGGCCACCAAACTGCTAAGACATCTGCTCCCAGAAGATAAACTTCTCCCCTCGCACAGTTCATCAGTCTCATCATCAATCCTCATCTGAAAAACCCTCCCCAGCACACAGAAAAATGCATCTTCCATTTACAGGAGAATCCTTTAAGAATCAGTAAGGCCATTTTGTTATTGTGCTGCAAACATCCCAGGTCTAATTCTAAGAACTCCTGGCTTCTGCTATCCTCGAATAAAAACCACACATGACACAACAGTCTGAACTGGGTTTAGAACATGTGAGCATGTAGGACATCCTCAGCAAGGACAAGACGTGAAAAACAACTTGGGCAAAGGGGATAAGAATAAGACATGGGGGCAGCTAGGTGGCGCAGTGGATAGAGCTCCGGCCTTAGAGTCAAGAGGACCTGAGTTCATATCCGGCCTCAGACACAAGACATTTACTAGCTGTGTGACTCTGGGCAAGTCACTTAACCCCGACTGCCTCACCAAAAAGAAAAAAAAAGACAAAAGAATTCACAGCTCAAGTTTAGAAAACAGTACTTCATGTCTATGCACAAATACAAGTCCACATAGCAAGAATCTGAGATCTCACTGATGTGGTCTCACAATCAATCTGTGACTCAAGAGATGAGGCTTGGAGAGCTGCCTGAGACTCATGCGGGTGAAGGGGCTTGCCTATATCACAAAGCTAGTAAATATCACAATGAGGGATTTGAATCCAGGTCCTCCTGATTCCAAGCCCAATACCCCATCCACAATGCCATGTTTGCCTTCCCAAACAAAGGATATCTAAACAACACTTCCATATGCATTTATTTATATATATATATATATATATATATATATATATATACACGTACACACACACACACACATACATATATATATGTAATACAGAAAGTGAAAGACTTAAGAAGTCTGACTGATGCAATGACCAATGACAATCCAGAGAACTGAGAAAGCATGCCATCTACCTCCTAACAAAAAGGTAGGTGATGGAACTCAAGGTACACATTTGAGATAAATATTTTTTGGACACAGCTGATGTGGAACTTCATTTTGCTTAACTATCCATATTTGTTAAAAGGGTTTTGTTTTTCTTTTTCTTTTTCCCTATCAAGAGAGAGAGGAAATATATGTTAATTGAAAAAACTGAATTTTTTAAATGTATATACATATATATAAATGCATATATACATATGTTAATATTAAGAAATAAAGAGAAAATACAGAGAAAGAGGGAAAAAGAAAAATGCAGAGAGAGAGAGAGAAACTTCATTAAATTCTAACTTTGATGTAAGGGGAGAGACAGAGACAGAGACAGATTCCACTAAAGCCTAACTCCAATGTACAAACTCTGAGGGTCCTACCAAACCAGCAAAGTATCTAGTACAAACTTGGTGAAAGAACGGTTGTCTGCCATTTGAGGACTAGTGTCGCTAAGTACAGAAGAGAGGCTCATGATTGTCATAGCTACAAGTAAACAAGCTGACAGCTCCAGTAATTCTCAAAGACCCCCCTACCAAGCAAGAGAAAGACTGATGTGCATGAACTGTGGTAAGAACGTACACACACTGACTAGATTATAGACCACTAAAGTACTGCAGTATGCATATAAACACAGGCATCTTGTATGTGCATTTGGGTGTCTTTTGCATAGACAAAAATCCAAACAGTCAAAGTCCTCTCAAACAAGCAAGCCATTTGTGGAACTGCACTGGACAGCTTCATCAGTTTCAGAGAAAGCAGGATGCAACCAGGACTTCTTTGCATGTAATGCTGATACTTACTCATATTGACTGGTATAAATGAACTTCATCAAGATAAGCTCTTGCATGTGTTCATGGAAAATGTCTTCCAAGGTCCGTCCCCATTCTTCTCTCAGCCACGTTCGGAATTCCTGCCAAAATAATAAAATTTATAAAACTCTCCACAAAAAAACTGGCATGAACAACATCTCTAAATGACCAACTCCTAGCTGTTCAGTAATGAGCTACGTACTAGTGCATTTCTACTGTGTACTGGGATATAACATTTAACTCTTAAAAACTACACAAACTAGCATGGTTTATACAAAATTCTTAGCTACTAATTTGGCAAAGCATTTTTCAGCATTATTTAGGATTAATACTAACATTCAGCAGATTCAGATCTTATTTCCAAATTATGACAACTTGTCAACTGCTTCGGAGTATTACACGAATCAGCTGCCCATTGTGACAGAAGTGCTTTGAAAGAAAAGTATTATAGAGGCCAAAGAAACATTAACATGAATGTGAAAGTGAAAATGTAAGTGTGCTTATAACACACAAACATTTTACTGTAAATGTTGTGAATAATACCAAAGACAAGGCCTTGGGTAGAGTCAGAACTTGGGTTTCTATGAACACAAAGAACACATCAATACCGACCAATCCAAACAAACCAAGAAAAAGATTCTCTGAAGTATATTTGCTCCAACAATAGCTTATCAGAGCACTGGACCTGGGGATGAAGGGGGATGGGATGAAAAAATCATTAAGAAACGACCAACTTTTAAACAGAAGCCATAGCTCCGCACTCTGAGTAAAATCAAGAAACGATCCCAGAACCTCTATAAAACTTCACACTGCCTGTGAAGTAAATACATGGCCTACAGGCTGGGTGGTGATTTATGACAAACAGCAACATGAGGTGGTTTTTAACAGTAAAGGGGTTGGGGTAGCATGCTATTCCCCCTTCCTCATGGTCAGCTGTTCTCTACCCTAAGCCCACTGGTATTAGATGTCCATGGGCCTCAAGTGGTTTAAAAATAATTTTGGCATGCCACGTGGGAAACATTACTACTACTTATAGCTGGTACTCAATAAATACGTACTGATAGCTTGATGAAGCCACAAGCTCATTTAATAAAGTTTACTTATCCCTACTCGTCTCACACCACTAATAACAGGCATCCCAAGCATAAAGATTCATAATGGATGAAAAATCTAGCTGGATGACTAATATAGAAAATATGTTTTACATGGCTTCCATGTATAATGGGTATCATCATATTGCTTGCCTTCTCAATAGGTAGGGAAAGGACTAGAGGGGGAAAATTTGGAACTCAAATTTTTTTTTAAAGAACTGTTAAAAATAAAGAACTAAAAAATTTCTTCTAAGAACCAGTTGGGTACCAAATTCACTCATTTTACTTCTATAATGAATGACCAATTATGTAAATTTATAAGCTGACAAATTATATATGAGTTTAAATAGGACTATAAAAGGTATCATTTAACTGACAAAAAAAGTTAAAATATAATTGATATTTTAACGACACCCACTCTTCCTGAGGACCCTAGAAATATATTCTTAAAAAACTCAACCCTAAAATAAGACTCCTTGAAAACTTTTTATACAGCTGTTGAGAGGAATAATTACTGACCCTTCCACTAGAATCAGTTGGTTTGCCAAAAGCATCTACAAAGGACAGCACTACTGGAAACAAGGCTCAGAAAAAGAAAAAAGGGGGAGCTATTTTAATGTGTCCTGAACCCCTTTCAACCCTAAGATAGACCACCACATACTGACTAGAGCAGACACAAGCAGTGAGCAGCAAATGAAGATGCTTCTACTTGCCGTCAACCCACCCATGCTGGCAACCTAGGAGACAGCTCCCCACACAGCATGCGGAACCTCCCATCTGACCAAGACCAAAGCCCAGCACAGCAACAGTTTCAGCTTCTCTGGGGGGAAGGCAGGACAGTCACTTTGGGGCACCTGCTCCCACAAGTCATCACCTCAACTGACCAGGTGATCAGGAGCACAAAACACTTTAAAATGTTAAGAGTGGGCACGCTCTGCTTGTCTTTAATTCCTACTGTAACAGACTCTAAACAGGGGAATCAATGGAAGACAGGTTGCTGAGGATGAGGACAGCTGCCAACTCCCCTTAGAGGCATTTATAATAAACACAAACCACCATTTTAACACCATTTTTAAAAGCCGGCCTCTTAGATATTTTAAATCCATGCACTGCCTGGGTCCCCACAACTCAAACTGATGACAAAATGAGGGACAGTTTGGTGTAGTAGAAACAGTGCTAGACCTGGACTCAGGAGGGCCTGGAGTCACGTCCTCCTCTGCCACTGACTAGCTATGTGGCCGTGGGCAAGTCACATAACCTCTCTGAGCCTCAGTTTCCTCATTTGTAAAATAGGGATAATAATGCTTATGTGGTACTGACCTCAATGGGGTTGTTTTGAGGATTAAATGGGGTAACTCACATAAAACACACATTCACACACATCAGCTACTATTAACAATAAAATACGGCACAAAACAGTGTCTTGAAGCCAAATCAGTTCTTTGTAACAGCTTTGTAGTTTACACTGCAGACAGAAGCACTGACTCATTTCAGAAGCCCTAAGGTTCTGTCTGACATGCAAGCTTCTGTACCACCTGATGTACGAGAAGACGGAGGTTCCAAATAAAATAATGTGTCTAACTGTCTCTGAAAGTCCTAATCCAAAAGGAGGAGCCTCACAACATAATGCAGCAAAATTAGCATCTCAAAATTTTTTCTTAAATAACATCACTTCCCCAGCTATGAAATTTAGAATAACTACAAAATGTTGAGAAATCAGACTCAGGAACTTTTTAAACAAGCCAACATATTATCTGAACTAAAAAATATCTTTTGATCAAATTAAATACTTTCACTTTTCAGAGGTTTTTTTAATTTTTCACCTCTCTACAGCTACTTCCAGTCACTTAACAAAAGGGATATAAATGTTAGAGCTTAGTTCATTCATTCTAGGGGAGAAAATCTACACATATGAACACATTCACATCCACAACTTCTAAAAATGCATTAAAATAAAGCTCTGTGCTAAGTATTCTGCTAGTAATGTCTCTACACTCTCCTTCTCTAAGATACAGTAAACAATGAGTAATGTATCTGTTAAGCTGTTCTCAGCTATTTCCACCCACCTGCATCCCAAAGACAGACTTACCTCTTGTCTCCCACCAGACATCCTATGGTGGTCTGTCTGGTTGCACTTGGTAGAAAACTCATCCTTCTTTACAATCTAGTGATTCATAGGAGGAGAAAAAAAGAACTGACAACAAGAAGTATTATGTGAGCAATCTGGCAGAAGGGACTCAAGCACACAACATGAAACAGGAAATCAGTGACACTCCAAGACAGGCCCCCTGGTTTATTCAATTAACCAAACAATCCTATCTTGAAGGCAATTTTGGCAATCGGTAAGTGTGAAAGGTTAAAATGGCAGAAGCACATCATCACACCCTGAAATAACAGTTCCCTTCTCAGAGGCTAGGGCACAGGTGACACTGAAGGAGGAAACATAGGCATTCTGCCCTCACAGAGCTTCTGAGTTAAGCCAAAAGTGGCTATTTGCTATTTAGGTAAATAACCCACTTCTTCTCTCAGGGATGGTCCTGATCATTTGCCAAAATCTAATGTCAAGGGTAGAGTGGTTTACTGTAATGCAGGTTCTCCTACAACAGGAAAGATCCATGGGTGGGAAAACTACCATATGATAACCCAGAGTTCACTCTGAATGGATAATCAATAGTTTCCTTTGAATTATTCTTTCAAGAGTTACATGAAGTCAAAAGAGATTAAATAATTCATAAGAGGGACAGTTTAAAAGACTGTCTTCCTTTCTCCATGGCATAATTACCGGCACAATATACGAGCATAAGCCAAGAACATGAACTCCTAACTCACATGGCATGTGACTGAGCACACGCTCCTAGTTTACATAAACACAGAAGTTTGCACTATGCTTACCTGAATATGACCATTATGAGGCCCTTTGTGACCATACATACACTCAACAGTTGCAGACTTTCTTTCCATTAAATGAATCCTAAATAGAGGTTTAAATCTCATGGGGTCATCAACATGGGGGTCATGGGGAGGCAGATACATCCAACCAATGATAAATAAACCATCTACCTGTACCAAAAGAGAAGAGGCTATGAGAAAGAGTTAAAAATCCCCCAATGACTGATCTCAAATGTTCCCACAACGCTAACCTAGGCTCTTCCAACATGCTGGTGGTTTCCCCACTACCTCCTCCGAGTACAATAGTTTTGAAGACTGCTTTTCCAGTTACCAACAGCTTGGGATCAAGTAGATGGCAATTCTCAGTGACAGAAGGCACCTTCTAATAAAGATTTCAATTACAAGACATTCTATGAATCAGCGTTTGATTGGTCAAAATCTTCTCTGTGAGGACGTGCGGCTTTTAGTTCCAGAGACAGAGGCTGGGAAAATGACACTCTTCAGTTTCTAACTCTTAGGATCACAGGTTTGGATCTGGAAGAGATCTTACAGTACATCTAAGCCCATCCATACATTTCAGTCCTATCAAACAAAGGCCAAAGGAAGTTAAGTGACCTGACTAAATTCACACAGGTAGAATGTTGCAGAGTTTGACTCCCAATCCAGAGTTGTGTGAACTGCATTATGCTACAGGAAGCTCACTGTCTGGGACAAGATAACTGGGGCAGTTATCCTTTCATAAGGAATCATCTATTTCCTTCTACTTATTCACTGCTTTTAGAAGATACATTTTCTCCTTACTCTACTATTCACTGCCAATAAGAAAAACAATCCTTCCCCTTGCTCAAATGAAAGGTGAAAAAAATCTACCGTCCTCATCTCAAAAGTAAAACACTCAAAAAGTAAGCCATATTTTTTTCTCTAATAACATTAGATATAAGCCCCTCCCAAAATGAATTCTTAATTAGTGCTTCTTCTTCCAAGTTGCAAAGGACATTTATCCCTCAGCAGAACTCAAGACAAAGGAACAAAATACTGAACTGGAACAACAAAGATTAGTCAAAACTGTACAAGGTGGTTCATTTAAGGCTACACAACTCCTACTAAGCCAGGGGCCCATCCATATCTGTCTCACTGGCTAGATCTACTTTTTAAAGTGAGTAGAAAAAAGTCAAAAGAGGATCCAATTTATTCAAAAAGAATGTGAAAATCTAAATTTAAAATACTGGAGAGGGGGATGACACAGGTTTATTTCAATATGTATCTTAATCTTCCCTTCCCCCCAAATTACCTTGTCTACAGTAGATCAAGATTGAACTTGTTGTGAGTGGACAGGTAGCTAGAAGCTCAATGGTAAAATGGGCCTGTGAGTTTCAGTGGGGCACTTAAACAATTACTGCATAAAAGAGGAGTGGCAAAGAGCCAGCTCCCCACCTTGGCTTACAGAACGTTAACACTGGCTTTGTACAAGAGGGTGGGCTGAAAAGCAAAAACAAAACTCCTCACGCAGCACCCAACTACATTCCCACAGTTTTATCATAACTGCAGTACACCTTGCAATGAAATCCCACAAGTAATTAAAGGTGTTCTGGAGCTGACACGCACCTGGGGATCCTTGGGAGCAATGCTGCCTTAGGGTTTCAAGTTAGAATCAGAGGGGATAAAGGGCAATTTCAGCCACACCCCCTCCTTCACTTCCTAGCCTAGGGGACAACAAGGGAGATCCTCGCCAACTGAGGGAAGTTCATAACAGGAGTGCACAGGCTTCGGGCTTAGACCCAGGGGTAACAAGAACTCTCAAGGAATGCACTACATCTCTAGGGCCAGACCACAATTCAAAGAAACTCTTCCAGATCAGGAGGTGTCAGAGGAAGCCTCAGGGTCAGGGGCTCATGCCTTGGGTGGTCCCAGTAAACCTCCAAGACTACTTAAAGGGGTTAGGATCTCAGAAGCAGAATTTGGCTTATTGTGATGTAAGTCACTGATGTCAAACTCAAATAAAAACTAATCCCTCTACTGCAAGTTTCTTTGGAAAACAACAAATTAATATTAACTATGTTGTCTTGTATCTTTATTTATTTTGTTAAACATTTCCCAATGACATTTTAGTCTTGGATGTGGGCCAGGAATTTCACATCGCTGATGTAAGGTACTACCCCTTTAATACACAGATGGCAGAAAACACCATATCATACATAGCCCTCAGAGTAACAAATTACCACTATACTACTCAAGATCTCCATTGCTTACTCAGTCATACTAATGCCTAAAATCAATCTACTTACTCCTATTAAAATCCAAGAGTAACTGTCTTTCCTTTGGACCAGAGCTATAAACTTAATAAATCTGTATACTCCTAGAGCAAAGCAAGAATGAATTTAATAAGAGATCAGATAAACCCTATTTCTAAATGCCAATTTCAATTCTTCCAATTTGCCCAAAGTGGCCTGGAGGGAAGTAAGTCAATTTCAGCTGCTTTGCTTCCCTGGTTTTAATGTCACCTCTTGCTGATAGGATAGTAGCCTCCTCTGCGTACTACTCTATTAAATTTAACGTACAGATAAATATACCATGTAATGCTTATATACTTTTAGAAGCACACACGATGTGTACCTGCTCCCCAAAGGCAGGAATCCCAGGGCTCTGGGAGGCTCAGGAGCAGCTGTTCTGTGGAGGCCCCATGGTACCCGCTCTGGGATTCTGCTCTGATGCTTTCTGTCATCACTAGTCAAAACCTAGCCCTAAAGGTGAAGATACATGACAATACCACGTCCCACAGGGATACCAGTATCTGGAGACATACATAGTCAGTTCACTTTGACTCAGACACAGTAAATGGCTGCTGTGTGCAGGGCCTGGTCCCAGGGGCCAGGGTGGCAGGTCGGAGCTGCTCAGGAAAGATCCAAGCCTTGGCCAAGGCCAGCTGGAGACTCTGCTATCTTTCAAACTGAGGCACAAACATATGAAAAAAAATCACCCTACCGCGAATTATTCTCTAGGAGAGGGCCATATTGGTGAATCTTTGCCTGTCACTCACTAGCTACAAGAAAGCAAATATAAACCAGGCTAGATGGAAATGTTTCTCTGACAGTCAACTTCTGTTAATCAGAAAGTCTATTAATAGTAAGATTAAAAAAGCTACTTCTAGTCGCACTTTGATTGATAAGATAATAAAATCTGACTTTGTGAAAAAATACTTATCTAGAATTTCTTGATAATATTCCAAATTTCACATAAGAATAAATGTTGGCATATACTCAAGTTAAAAAAAAATCAATGAATGTTAGTGGGGCCTGGGAGATATATTTATTGGAGATATATTTATATAAAAATATAAGGAACTTAAAAATGAGAACTTCAATGTGAGGCCTTTATGGTATTTCCCCAAAATGTATCAGTGCAGGTATGACCCTAAGCAGAGATCATTCCAACAGCTCTGAACTTCACGTACAAGACAACCACTAAAGACTCTCTGAAGGCGAAAGGCTGGTAGGTTTCATAAGCAAGCCTCTTTTTTTGATTCTTTGTATGCAGAAAGGCTCATGTTAACTAGTGTTTGTTACATAATTAATAACAAGGGGGGGGGATTTTTTGTTGTTTATTTTTACATAAATAAAGCTTCTCTGAGTACTTACCACAACATTCAACAGCCCTCCATATGGCCCAATGTCTGGCTGCCACAATCCCAAAATATGTCTATATCGGTGAAGCACTGGGGAAACAGAGAAATATCAAGGGTACATCTCAAACTGAATACACTAAACTGAATTAAAGAGGCCGACAAAGCAGAAGAGTAAGGGGTGAAGAGGGGAAACATGAGGTCACCACATGGAGCTTTGGGAGGGAAAGTCTATTATGAAAACAGAGCAAGCAGCAAATCTTGTCTACAACTGTTTGGAGAATGAATAATCAAAGATATTTCCAATTACTACAAGTGCTTAACAAATCTTTGAATGACAGAAAGTTATAAGCTTAGTCTGGAGGAGAGGGAGTCCTTTTTAAACAAACATCCCAGAAAGTTCATTCAAACAGCAAGTATTTACTGAGCACCTACTGTTTTCAAGAGATGGTCCCACATGCCATGGGGGTTTTATGCAAGACAGTGTCTTAACTCTACCAAGGAGAGGTGTGACCTGTACAAAACAATAACCCTAGCAGGCAGAGTGGATTAGAAATTACACTGGTTCTGGAAAGGACAGGCTGCACGCCCACCCAACCAGATGGGACTGCACAGGAGAAGCAGTATTCAGGCTGGATCTGGAAGGAGCTAGATGGGCAAAATACCTCAAGAGGGACAATTCCAAGAGGTCCAGAGGCAGGTAAGCCTGGAATAAGTCAAGGTGAGAAAGTCAGGGGGGTGGAAGCACCTGAAGGGGAGAACAGCTAAGCTTGCAGAGGCCCTGAAGGACCAGGCGGCGGTGCCTGGACTTCACTGGTGACTAATGCGAAGGTAGGGGAGGTTCTACATCCCCATGTGCTATGGCAGCTGTATGCGATGGGCTTAGGGCCACAGGAACAGACGGCAGACCAGTGCACTTGTGTAAGCATGAGGTAACTGTGGTAGGTACTGAAAGGTAGGTAACAGGAAGACAGACAAGGACCAACAGAAGAGACATTTCGGAAAGATGAATCAACTTGGTGACTGATTGTCAATATGGGGATAAAAGAAGAAGAGGCAGTAATCGATAATTACTGAAAACATACACATTCAGGTAGTACTGTTTCTTCAAAACTCATCCTGGTAGACTCTATCCTTATTCCAACAATGCTGTTGGGCACTGCCTTTGGAACCAGTCCAGAAGCCCCACCAGAAAACTGTCTCATTAGCTTATAGTCACACCTCTTTCGGGAGCAAATGAAGGATTACCCAGTTCAAGGACCAGACCTAGCTTCAAAAGACTTTTGGTTCTTTCCCAAAATGAGAACTACCCTCAAAGGAAAAGATTTGCCACTCCTGGGGAAATTCTAAAGTATGAGGTGGCCAAGGCTCTGAAGACAGTTCCCCAAGAGAAGTTCTAAAGATTCACTGAGCATCCTTGGAATACATACAGAGGCTTCCCCACTCCCAATGCCACCCCTCCAATAGGATGCCTTGGAAAAGATTCTGGGATGTCTGTTCAAAAAAAAAAGTAACTGTATTACCTTGTAATCACATCTGATATATTCTGGAGGTGGTTACTAGTACTAGTACTACCACTATTATTGCTGCTGCTGCTGCTGCTGCTGCTACTACCTTTAATGGTGGATTTACTGGTACGGAAGGATTGCCCAAACAAACCCTGAAAGATAAATCAGAGACATTGGTATAATTCAAAAATAAATTTATACTTCAGTATTTTTTTTGTTCCAGATCTTCATTTCATCTGTGTGGGAAAAGCTTTTGAGGAGAAAATACCCTCAATGCCCTCTTTCCTACTACACCCAGCCTACCTATAGAGTGTCTGCCTGGAGCACTAATAAGCAGTTCAATGACTTGACCAGATGCAGGACAGATCACTCTGGATCTCAGGCCAGCCCTCTCTACCCCGCTGCCGAGGCTGCCTTTCTTTAGTAAATACACAGGATTAAAAATTGTCACACTACAACACAAAGCTTCTGCCTCATACTGTGTCCTTTTTAAGGGCTAAGCCATAAACTGACTTCAGTTAATAAAAGGCAAAGCACCTGTTTTTAGTTTAAATGAAAGAAAACGACAGGCTGGGATTTGTTCAAGTGAACTTCTGGTATCTGTAAACAGAGCCTGTCCCTGGAGGTAAGCCACAGCTGCTCGTCATTCTGATGCAGTACATCACGTTGCATTCTAGGTGTTCAAATTCAAAGGTCACAGAGACAGAATTAAACTATGATTCAACACATCAAAACACTTCTGGTCTTAAACAATGTTGCTCGGGCCTCAATAGTGGCTAAGTAATTTAAGATCATTTGCTCAAGCCGTCTAAAGCACTCAAATGCTCGTAAACATGGAGGAAAAATGTGTAAAAATTCAATGTGATGAAGAATCAGAGAACTAATGACAAATGATATTAGGAAAAGTCAGAGTTTTATCCCTTTACACCTCCACAAATACTTCTCATGCACAATAAAGTCCTTTAGATTCAAGGACCGAAAGGGAAAAAACAAATTACTAGAGAAATTTTGATGATTACATATTCTTGGTAGATGACATTTTTTTCCATAGTGATACTTAGAACCAAGATTACTGACTTACAACTAACTAAAAAGTTTAAAGCCCTGAACCTACTGAAAGAAACAATGAATTCAGGGGCAGGGGATGAAGACTTTATGAAATCACACTTCCACATTATTTTGAGGGTACTACAACACGATAGTGCTGACCACCACCAGAAGAGTTAAGAAACATAAACCAGAGTTTTAAAATAACGGGAAGTAAAATACAGCAGCAGGAAAGGAAGGCGTGACTATCTCCCAACACAGAACCCAGCCACCAGGGATCACGCGACCTGATTTCTATCTCGGTTTCTAATTGTAGTCAAGTCACTCATCTCTGCAGCCTCAAGCTCCTCATTTCTAATATGTTATGGTCAGAGTATCTGGCTGTAAAGGTCATTTCCAGATCTGTGATTCTCTGTATAAATACTACAAGTAGCCCAATGAAAGCTTTCTCTGGCTTATTTCTATCCTATTCAGAACCTTCCACTTTAAATAAGGTGAATTTATAATCTGATACACCAAAATTCCTCCACAGTGTAAATAACAGAGTGAAACAAAAGTAGTCTCATTCTATCATTCCACAGCAAAGACATTTGCTAAAGACATCGAGAATTTTTAATTACAGAGCTAATTTGTAATACTTAATGTTTAATAAAAGCTTTTTTTAACTTACTATAAGATTTCCAAACCTCCTTCTCTCCCTCTCAAGCTTTACATGATCACTGTCCTACAAAAAGAAAACAGAATACCAAACTGTAGCAAGGAAGACGTGGCTTCAGACTTGCTTCTCATCTCCGTGGCTACACAGCCCTAGACAAGTCACTCAACCATTCAGGGTCTCAGACAACTCCCCGGAATCTGCTCAGGCACAAACGCTGTGATGAGTGGTAGAGGGAATTCCCACACCAGAACTTTTCTACCCAACCTGCAGATCCCTTCACGTAATGACATCCTTTCTGTATTTGTGGAACCAAACTGAACCCACCTTAAAAAATGAAGAATTAAGTTAAAAAAAGGCTCTGAGAATACTTTGCAAAAACTCAAGTCACTAAACAGCTGGCTAATATTTCTCAAGTATTAAAGCGTTTTGGTTGGATTCAGTTCAATTCATACACAGCCACACTTACAAGGATGACACACGAAACCGTTACAAAAATTCAGGCTGGTGGGGACAGCTAAGGGGTGCTATGGATAGAGCACCGACCCTGGAGTCAGGAGGACCTGAGTTCAAATCTGGCCTCAGACACTTGATACTTACCAGCTGTGTGACCCTGGGCAAGTCACTTAATGCCATTGCCTAGCCCCCCCCAAAAAAAATTAATTCAGGTTGGTGGCTCAAATTTACAAAGAAGTCTGTTTTAGACCCTGAGCTTATACTATCAAAGAACAGATGGAACTGTAGTGCTGTCAAACTCAAACAGAAATAATCCCTACAGACATATTAACCTAAAAAAACATAAATTAACATCATCTATGTTGCACTGTATTTTCATTTTTTTAATTAAACATTTCCCAATTACATTTTAATCTGGTTCAGTTGACACCTCTGGCTAAGGTATATCTACCACTTAGGTAGAAGTAGATGGTACAGTGGATAAAGCACTGGGCTTAGAATCAGGAGGACTCATCTTCATGGGTTTCAGATCCTGCTTACTAGCTGTGTGACCCTAGGTAAGTCACTTAACCTTGTTTGCCTCAGTTTCCTCAATCTGTAAAATTAGCTAGAGAAGGAAATGGCAAACCATTCCAGTATCTTGGCCAAGAAAACCCAAAAAAAGAGGTCGTGAAGAATTCAACATGACTAAGAGTACACAACAACAAAAAGGAGAATTCTATGCCAGTAGTAAGGTACATTCTGGCAACTACTCAAGTAGCAAATATCCTAACTGGCTCAACTGGAATAGACTCTTCTCAAGTTAACCTTCAACTGAAGCACTGTCTTGTCATTTGCCAACCCTGGTGAACAGTGTGGCAACAGAAGGGGTATTTTTTAAGTAGTGTTAACCCTTTACATTCATCAATCCCAAATTGTTCCAGATCCCACAGGCGTGGAAGGGAGAGAAGGGAAAAGGCCTCGATGTTCCAACCCACTCTTTCCCCACCATCTCCTCCCTTGCCCCAGAACACATCTGGGAGTTTCCAACTGTATTTCTTCCAGTGAGGTGCAAGATCGCCAGGCCTTACCATATGGATCCCTGCCTTTACACCCGGCAAAATCCCAGGCACTGCCATTGGACCTAATGACAAACTTGGGCCCTTCCACTAAACCTTAGGACTCCCACATCTTCTAGCCAACCTGCAGCTGATCTTTCATTTATGTATGGTCTCCTCCAATTAGCATACTTTATCCTCACAACCACCCCAGGAGGTAGGTGCTGTAATTATCCCCATTTTACAGATCAGAACTGAGGCAGACAGAGATTAAATGACTTGCCCAGGGACCATCTGAATTGTCTTAGGAAGCATGTGAAGATCACCTAGCAAGAGAAGGTACCAAACAAGGAGGTCCCTTCCCAAGCTGAACTGCCAAGCATTCAAACTCAAACTCTACTGCAGAATGTGACTTCCTTGAGAGGAGAGGTTATAACAACCTTTTTCTATTTGAAGGAAGAAGGAGAAAAGAACAGGCATTTATATGCACCAGGCACTGTGCTAGGAGGTTGGACCTTTTTTCCTTTTATTATCTCATTTCATCCTCACAATAGCCCTCTGAGGTAGGTCCTAGGGTGATCCTCATTTTGCAGTTTAAAACTGAAGCAAACAGAGGTTAAGTGACCCGTTCAGGGTCACCCCGCTAGTAAGTGTCTGAGGTCACATATATGAACTCAGGATTTCTTGGGCCCAGGCCCAGAGTTCTATTCATTGCACCACCAGCTGCCTCTTCACACTACATGGCACCTAGTAAGACCTGAAAAAATCTGGATACTTTTCTAATAAGCATTTTCCCTTTCATTTGATTCTCACAACCCCTTTTACAGATAAGGCAATGACGCTTAAGTACATGCCGCCCCAGAGCCCCATCATGAGCAGTCGGTGACAGAGCCAAGTCTAGAACTCAAGGCTCCTGACTTCAAGTCCCATTTTCTTTCCACCATAACATGCTGTTTTACTTACACTGGAAAGAAATCCTTAGAATATGACATATCTGGGAGGCAGCTAGATGGCACAGTGGATGGAGCACCAGCCCTGGAGTCAGGAAGACCCGAGTTCAAATGTGACCTCAGACACATGATACTTACCAGCTGTGTGACCCTAGGCACACTTAACCCCAAATGCCTCACCAAAAAGAAAAAAAGAATATGACACATCTAGGAAGGAAGATCCACATTTTTTCCTGAGGGGCCTTTATTCAAAACGGGCAATACAGTGAGAGAGAGAGAGAGAGAGAAAGAGCTCTACAATCATACTGACACCAACAGGGAGACCTGAAGGGGAAAGGACGTAGCGATGTCTCAACCTGAACATCTACTTTAAACCCTTTAAAGTCTGTATTTTTATTTATATGACTGGGAATTGCATCAAAGGCAACTATAAAAAGAGAGAGACAGAGAGAGAGAGAGAGAGAGAGAGAGAGAGAGAGACAGAGAGAGAGAGAGAGAAAGAGAGAGAGAGAAAACCATTACAGATCATACATATGAGAAACCAGAGTTACCCTGATATTATATCTAAGGTTGGTTAATAAAGCAAACATCAATACCCAAGGACCATGCAATAAGGTATCAAACACTCAAAGACACAGCATGCTCCTCATAAAGTAATTCAAAATGTTATTACATATATCTCCATATTACCTAGTTAAAGCCAAGCTAATTTTCTTTCTTTAAACTATTTTACTCAGTTCCAGCTAAAATATTTCTCTCCCCCAACTCAGAAAATCACTTAGAACAATTTTAAAGTTTCCTATTACTCATTATAACTGCATCTTACTTCATCAAAATCAATTTCATTTATGAAAGGTCACAGCATAACACAAAACACAGGGTATACCTGGCCATAAAACAATCTCACCATTCTGTCACTCAATACATCAAAAACTATAATTTTCCTATGTGGGGATAAGGAACCACTATTCCCAATATAAATATAAAAGCTGAAATACCAGATGTTAGGAGCATTTAGAAAAATTCCTAAATCATAAATTCTCTTTTTGCCAAAAAAGAAGCTCCCAGAGGGAAAAAGGATTAAATATTAAACAGATCTTAACACTCTAACCATTTTTTAAAGTCAGTAATTACATTTGCTTCCAATTAACAAGAGCTTTAGTAACAAAGTTAATATCCCTTTTTTTTTTTAAAAAAAGCCCACACCCACAGAGTCACAGCGCACAAGAAATGTTCTCAAAGTCTACCCAGGCAACTGCAGCAGCCTCTGGCCCTTCTACTGCCCCCAGCACTCCTCGTCCCTGGGTGGGCTCCACCACTCTTCCTCATCCCTTTTCTTAAACTTTCCCCTACCTTCTTCCTATGACTTCTTAAGTGCCTTTGTTCATCAGCTTACTTTCCCATCACCTTCATCCTGTCTTCACTGTTTTCAAGGCTGGTTTCAGCTAATTCTGAGCTTCTACCTCTTTAGAATTATCTCTCCTGCTTAGACTCTACTCCATAGCTAAAAAGGGTTAGGGGTTGAGGGTGAAGAGGAGGGGATGGGGCAGGGATAGGGGTGGAGTAGAGGAAGGGTTAATAATGGAAAAAGCTTGTATCCCCTCTTACCTACTTGTAGCCAGTATCATCATACCTTAGTTACCTTCACTTTTTTGAGCTTATTGTCTATAAAATAATTTTTTTTACTTGTTTGATCTTCTAATTTCACGTGTGTGGAACACTCCTATTCACTTAAATCAGCAACCTTGACCTGTAACTTATAGTTTGAGAAAGTTGAGTTGCTAAGGGCGCCCCCAGAGGGCTAAGTGACCTGCCAGACATCTCAGAGGCAGGACTCACAACCAGGTCTTTCTGACTCCAAGGCTGGCTCTCTATTCACTATGTCACACTGCCTCTCCCAAAGTTCTTTATAACTGTATTAATTATATAAAAGGTATTGTTAAACCAATCCAGATAACTTTACCTTAATGCCAAGTATACCCTCATTCTCTTAAATGAGAAGCAGGTAGGATAACTAATGAGAATAACAGATGGAGATGATACTGATGAAAGTAGGGAGGATCAGCATAAGTTTAGAGGGCAAGTTAATATTATATGGGTCCAAAAGATTTTTTAATATCCAACTGCCACACTACATAATCAGGGACATACAAATTCAGCAAGGGAGCCCATGTAGAACTCACATGCGCAAGGATGACTAACATTTAGAACAAGTGAGCTGCTTGAGCTTCACCGTGAGGGGAAGAGGGAAGAGTTGAGAGCTTCTGTTCATTCTCACTGCCCTGACCCTGCGTGAACCTAATTAACTGTCCAACATAGAGCGCCCTCAGGAAACGTTTAAAATGCTATGACCGGTAGGCTCCGTGGAGGAGCGATCAAAAGCAGTGCCAGACACCTGAGGTAGAACGACTCTCTACGCCTAGTAAACCTTAACCAATGCCAACCATTCAGAAATACTCTCTATAACAAAATAACAGGACATCTTCCTGAAAAGTGATGGGCAGTGAAAAAGCCAAAGAGATCATCAGCTTGCTCTGAGATCCACACAATCCTAACATTCTCTGTGGGTTAGGATCGTCATGCAGCATCTTGAGCGTGCTCTCTGCAAAAAGCATCAGCTGGCAGCAAGTACGTACGGCAGGTGTAAACATCTCTGTATCCCATGTGCTCGTAATCGGGAAGAATTCTCATAAAACGTCCTGACTTCACGCGTGGATTTATACCTGAACAGACACAGCAAGGAAAGCACTCAAGAAGATGTTTCCAATTTTCATGACTACATGCACATTTTCATAGGATGTAAAGTTGTCTTCCTCCTTAGTGCTAAATATAAGACCACTTAAGTTCACCAAGCACAACACGAGGTACAAATGTTCATCATCTTCCAGTCAAGGACTTCGATCCTGCACACCCACTTCCGGGAAACTAGTCCTCCAAAGGAGCAGTTCCCAGCCACAAACCCAGAATGGGATATTAATACATTTTTACAATTCTCTAGGGTCCCCTGCCTTGCTTAAGTGACAGCTTGATCTCACTCCCCACTGCCACTGCAACAGCCTGGACTTAATCTGTTCTACCTCGAGATAAATGAGGTTCACAAGGGCCTGGCAGAGGCAGGCATTGAGAAGAACGGCTTCCCTGACAGTGGACAGTCAAGTGACGCAAACAGAGACCCTCTCCATATAGCTGAAGGTTCACTTTGTCAATCTGAGCAGAGAGGCCAAGATCTGACAACCAGCATTTGGTATCTTTCTACCACCTGTCCTCTGGTAAAGTAAATTCTTCCTTGGAAGCCTCTTATAAAATTCAATATGGCTGCCCCTCGTCCTAGTTTTGGAGAAAGGGAAAGAGAAACATTCAGTATCCCTATTTTGGTAATTCAATTGGTCAAACTATTTAATTGATTTTGCCCTGAAAATAGCTGCTCCTGTTGTAAGGAACAAGAGAAAACTGGACTCTATTTATGTCAGCTTAACTATTTCAAGGTTCCTTAACCATAAAAATAATGATAGTCACCAGAAACATTCTGTGAAGGCTCTCAGTCGATGACATAATGACGTCATTGTTTCTATAAATTGCTAAATTCATTACACACAACATTTCCCCTGACCCATGCTCTGTTACACTGACCTCTACATACACCAGGCGTGTACACATGTGCAATGCGCGCGCACACACACACACACACACACGCACTCTCTCTCTCTCTCTCTCGCGCACGCGCGCGCTCGCTCTTTCCCACTCAATTCCATACACACCTCTCTTCTCCCTTAGCTTTAGCACCTGGCCAGATCCCCTTTCCCACAGGCGCAAAGGCCAGTGCCTGAGCAGACTCCTACACCCTCAGAGCAGATAAGTGAGCCAGAAACAGTTCTGTATCTCTCATCTGTATATTTCCCATGGTCACATGGCACACTGACTGCCTACTAGGAAGATACGAAGGGATTTTCTACTTTGTTCATACTATTATTTTAGCTAAGGTTAAGAGGCAGAGATAAGCCCTCTTGGTTCTCTGAGGGAAGCCTGGGATGGCACAGGCCAAGCGCCATAACCAGCTCCAAAGGACAAGACTGAAGATTCACTTCGTTGTACTGAATTCAGTTTTAAATGAGATGGCAAGTGCTGGACAAGTGGTCAGGGTGATGTGGATTCTGATCCTGCTGCACGATCCTGGGCAAGTCACGCTCTCTCTGCAGTCCCCGCAGGTAAGCAGAGAAGATCAATGCTTGCCTTGGTAAGATGAGACACTCCGTGAAAGTACCCCAGCAGACCTTACAGCAGCACAGGAGGTCTCCTCCTACTGCAACAGAAGTCCCTTGAGGGCAGGGATTAGCTCCCATCTTGTTTTTGCAGCCTGGGCACTTAGCACAGTGCTTACTTATCACAAGAGGGCTTAATAACCAAAGATCTAGGCTTAGGAAGAGAACACTCAAGATTCATAGGAACAAAGCATTTAGCACTGGAAGGAACTTTAGAATCACCTAGTTCCAGGCACCCAGTTTTGCAGAAAACCTGTCCAAGGCCACACAAGACAGAAAAATATCACAGTGAACCTAGATCAATGTGAACTTGGATTCCCAGATTCTAAATCCATAGCTCCATAAGATATTCACATGTGATTTTCTTAGGAAGACATTTATCTCCTCTGTATCTGTGTGATTTGCAGGGATGTGTGTAAGAAGCAGGCTTTGGGCAGGCCAGGACTGCCTTGCCGTTTGGGAACAAAAGGCAGGATGGACACAGGTAAGAGCCCAGGGAATCAGGAACGGGTGGAAAGGTGCAGAGGACAGAGGTCCCAAGTCTTGGCAGAAAGGGAAGGGGAACAGCAGAGAAGAACTGAGAGTGTTCCTGGAATGTGACCAGAGATTAGGAGATAGCCAGCAGGACTGCAGAAGTACCCAGGAGGGAGGACAGGGAAAAGCCACTCAGAGCCCCAGAAGAAGTGAGAGCAACAGCCTCCAGTTAGGGAACAGAAGGAAGACCGCATGTTACGAACAAATGGCACACTACAGGACAGCATGCAAAATGATAGGAGGAAGTCGAGGAAAACCCACGTTTAACTATATGGCCTCTCCTCTATCACTGGAGCACATGGCTCTGAGTTAATCTGGGGTATACAATTTCCTTCAATCCCAAGAGTTTTCAAGAAGATAGGAAATCAACAGAATAATCAATTTATCTGCCTGAGAGACTAGGATTAAAAATTACTCAAGTCTCCTTATTAACGGAAGGGCATGAAATGCACTAATGGTGACATCAGCTCCCCTGGCAACAAGCAGCCACTGACCAGAGTTCTACTCTGACCTAGTGTTGGAAGGGATCCTAGGGGAAGCCCCTACTGATGAATGAGGACACTGAGGCCAGAAAGGGGACTTACTTTCCCCAAACCAGAGAATACTTGTGAAGTGCTTAGCTAAGTACCTGGCACAGAAAAGGTGCTCTATCAATGCTCATTCTCTTTCCCCAAAGTCACATAAGTAACCAGCATCAGAGATGGAATTTGAACTCCGGCCCTCTGCCTGCAGGCCCAATGCTCCCCTAAATGCTGCTCACTTCAGTCTGTGGCTACCAGATGACTTACACAGCCAGCATATCTGAACTGTAGGTCTTGCTAATTAGAAAACAGCTCCATGGGCAGATGCTGTACTTTTTTCCTGACAAACCTGACAAAAAGGCTTGGGAGAGTGGAGGTCTTCTATCGTGGGGCTTTGGGAGGAGAACTTTCAGTGCAGGGGCAAGTCTACTGCTGATATTAACCATGGAAAACTAATCTGCTCATGAGCAGAATCTTGGATAAAACGTCAACACATGGCAAAATTTGTGCCAAAACAGCTTCCAGATGGCTGTTTATGATGGCTTTACAAAAGCTTCCTTACACTAACAAAATTAAGAGGTAGAATTTTTGCCTCTACCTTTCTATCTCCTCCTCTGGGGCTGAGACTAAAAAGGTCCCTAATGCACTGTGAGTAAAACTGCAAATCAGTCCAGCCATTCTGGATAGCAGTATGAACAACTTAGTGCCCCAAAGTCACAGACCCTAGTTGTGATGCCACTATGAGGCCCCAAAGAGATCAAAGAAAAAGAACCACATCTACAAAAATATGAGTAGTAGCTCTTTGTATTATAATAAAGAACCAGAAACTATGGGGGTGCCCATCGACTAGGGAAATAGCTGAACAAATTACGACCTAGGAATGTAATGGAATATTACTACACCATAAGAAAAAACAAAAACGACAGTTTCAGAGAAATCTGGGAAGAAACTGATGCAGAGTGACATGAGCAGAACTCTCTCCTCCTCTGCCTCCATTCTGAATTGTCTTCAAAGGTACTTGGTGCCCAATTCTGTTTACTGAAGGTCCTTTTTTGCTAAGGTGCCCAGTCAGGTCTGCCATCACAGATAATGCCCAAAGTTCCAAACTCTGCCTCACAAAAAACAACCTGTTAAGTTTTAATTTAAAATAGACAAAAAAGGCAACCTCTTTGCTGTACCCCATTCCCTCAGGTTGATGACTTATTACCAAAAAGTAATCCAAGCAAAAATAAAAGCTGATAACAGCTTACACTGTTCCCCTTAGCAGTTCCCTGCTATATCTGAACAGGAGAGGAGCCCTAAGACAAGGCAGAGCCAGTGAGGGTGCAATTTGTCTTGTCATCTACATGAAATTTCACTTATAGGAAAGCAAAGGTAGGAAAAAAAGATCACAGACCTTGGAAATCATCCCATTCTAGGGTCTGTGAATTGTTGTTTGTGGGATTATTTTTTTTTAATTTCTATTTCCATACAAATGGTTTCCTTGGTAATCCTAAATATTTTATTTTTTGTATTTTAAAAAAATTATTCTAAAAAGGAGTCCATCTTTGGGCTTGTCAGACTGCCACACTGAACCTCGCATAAAAGTTTAAGAAATTTGGTCTGCTGTTCCAGTCATGTCCAACTTTTCGTGACCCGATTTGGAGTTTTCTTAGCAAAGGTCCTAGAGTGGATTGCCATTTCCTTCTCCAGCTCATTTTAAAGATGAAGAACTGAGGCCAACAGGGTGAAGTGACTTGCCCAGGGTCACACAGCTGGTAAGTGTCTGAGGCCAGATTTGAACTCATGAAGATGAGTCTTCCTGACTCCAGGTCCGGCACTCTATGCACTATGGCACCCCCTAACTGCTGGATAAAAGTTACAGAACCCCTGCTGCAGTCCAATCTGAGGCCCAAGGAAGGAGAGTGACTTGATCATGGGCGCCAGGGTCCCACACTTATGATTCTGAAGGTCAGCTTCACAGTCTGGAAGAAAACCATGGCTAAACAATTTCTGGAAATGGAAGACTTCTCATTTTGGTTATAGTCTATCCTTCCCAAAGTCTAATAAGTCATGGGTTGAATGCCTCCTAGAGGAAGGCTCTCCATGAATCTCAACAAGCAGCAGATCCTTGAAAGGGAATCAAAGAGCGTTCCTCAAATCACAACATAAATTACTAAAAAACAGAAGCAGCTGTTGCTCCACATAATCCTACGACTTTGCAACACACAAACTCCTTGATTTCCAGGCACACAATTTCTTATCCAGGGTAGGCTGAAAAACGAGGATGCCTACATAACTGGAATATGAGCATAAGGGAAAAATAAGAAGCAAATGTTATCTAATTTTCGGTATCAAGTCTAGTGTTATGTCATTTAAATAGTGACAAATTCCTAATAGCTTTAAGTGGAAGTGCTGGAAAGATGAGACTACCAAATATGGACCATATTATTTGTATTATTAAAAGCAGAAATTAAGTCAACAAAGAGACTTTCACAACAGAAATATTTATAGTAACAAATGAATTAACTCACGTTTGGCATAGACATCTCGACAGGACACACCAGTAATCTCCAGCTTTCGTAAGTTTTCACATACACCATACTCTGAAAAAAACAGAAATTTACTAAAAATTCAATTCAAAAAAGCACAAAGCAAAAACAAGGAATGGGGAAACTCCGGCAAATTTCAGCCTATCCCACTTTGTGGAGATGGTTTGGAATTTTCCCATTGTTCCACTGTGAATCAGTCAATCAGAACTAAATAATCATCAACGTTGCACATTTCCTGTAAAGGTTAAAAATCTAACTCATGAACAGGCTGTGTTCCTAAAATGCATTTGTTTGGAAAATGGACTCTTATTTATCCAGAAAAGTGCCCTTTTTATAGTAGTTATGCTCCCAAAGTATTCCAAGAAACAAAGATTTATCCAACCTATAATGTAGCTGCCCTGGTCAACTGCAGACCATATAATACAGGAGAAAGAAAAGAACGTGAAAGAATACCAAAAATGAGTACAAGGCAGTCTTGAGAGGAAATTTATGAAACAGATAAAATCTGTCTTTGATGCACTCTGGCCTCTGCCCTTTTTGCATGATCCTCCAGCCTTCCAGGACAGATTCCCCTTCACCCGGTCCCCAAGACTCTCAGGATAGCCTAAAACTCCCCCAATGCTGCCCCTCTAATGTTTGTCCTGTGCTTTGTCCTACACAAAGTACTCATCCTTAAAATTACCACTTCTACTCTCCTCCCACAATCAAAACTCCCAGGCCCTCAGTACAGAAGATCTAAGCAAGGTATTAGAAGGAAAGCAGTCTGATTGGGTGAATTCCTACTACTAACTGAGTGAATGACTAACCGTCCCTTAATCATACAACAGGAATTTATAATCTTTTAAAATCTGCTTAGTCCTAATGAAGTGTTAATTGGTAGAGTTTTAGGCAATACAATTCAACAAATATTTAAGTGGCTACTATGTTCAGGACATGTTACAGTCTGATAAAATAAGAATCAAGTAGGGAGAGGAAGGAGGGAAAAAGAGAAGCAGACAAGCTGGGAACATAAGCTGATTTTCCTAATTATCTCAAGCTTCTCAAACTCCGGAACCTACAACAAAACCTAAAAACTCCAGGTTTTCCAGTCATTCCCATGGCACAGTGCCTAGCACAGAGATACACACTTAGTAAATGCTTTCACATTTAACCATCCATCATTCACTCAATCCAGGGCAGCAAGCAGTAGAGGCCTAGCAGGAAGCGAGACAAAGGCCCAAAGCTGCTGCATGGATGAGGAATTTGTAAATCTGTTGTTTCTAAACGAGGAACCTAGCAGACATCTGATTTACGCGCTAGCTCCCTTCTCTATGGACTAGTGCTCCCTTATCCCCCTTCACAAAAATCTACTAGGCCGACACATACATACACGAATGTACACATGTATGCACGGAACCTACTTCAGTGGTTTCAATCTGGCACCACTTGGGCAGTGGTTGCCCGCCAATTTTAGAAATGAAGAAGCTTGGGCTTATACATCCGTAGAGCCCCATGCCAAACAGGGCGAGCACTGCCTGCCTGTCCTATTCCGCTCATTCTGAGTACTGTTACTAAGGCGTCATCCACAGGAATCCATACTCTTTTTAGCTCTTCAGCAGGTAGCAGGGAAAAAACAAATAACCCGTTGTTAAGAAGAACCCAGCCAAATTCAGAGACAATCCTAGAGGCCAAAATGGGATCTCAGTAATGTCTGACGCTAGGTTTGGACAACACAATATAGGATCCAGTTTTAGCTAGTCAACACAGTATGAAAAGGCAAGGAGACGGGGCTGAGAACACCTTCAGAATCACGAACACCTCCCAGGCCCCCTCCCGGACCTGAAATGAGTCTCGTCCCCAGTATGTGCAACAAGGGTCTGCGCAGCTTTGGCCCGAGACCCTCAGTGAGGGTAAACTCATCACACTCTCTGAGGCAGCCGCTCCACTTCTGGTGTTCAGTCATTTTTCAGTTGTGTCCAATTCTCTGTGACCCCATTTGGGGTTGTCTTGGCAAAGACACTGGAGTGGTTGGCCGTCTGCTTCTCCAGCTCATCTGACAGATGAGGACACTGAGGCAAACAGGGTGAAGTGACTTGCCCAGGGTCACACAGCTGGTAAGCATCTGAGGCCAGATTTGAACTCAGGAAGACTCCAGGCCCAATACTGTATTCACTAGGCCACCTAGCTGTGCACAGTTCTAATTGCAAAGAAGTCTGTCCCTGTGCCTCTTTGAAACCACGTAGCCAAAAAGAACAGCCTAGGTGGCAGTGGGTAGAGCACCCGGCCTCAGGAAGACCTGAGTTTCAATCCAGCCTCACACTCTGGGCGAGTCGCTGTTTGCCTCAGTTTTCTCATCTGTAAATTGGGGATCATGACAGCACCTACATCCCAGAGCTGTGGTGGAAGCACTCTGCACGGTGCCTGGCACATAGTAAATGCTCTATAAATGTCAGCTGTTACCACTGTTGTTAATCCATTCCACGGGTCAGCCCCCAAACGCCTGAAGACAGCCATCATGCTGCTTTACGTAAGGATTCTCTCCTCCAGTTCCTCCAACCAAATCTAAGAGAGCTTGAAGCAGAGGCCCTTCGTCATACTGGCTGCTTACCAATGTCCCTAAAGCGCCCCAAACTGGATTCACTACTGCGAAGGCGTTCTGACCACGGAGGGCCACCAAAGGACTAATGCCCCCTTCCCATGCCTGAGCTCAGCACCTCCATTCACGTAACCAAAAATCACATTGTCCTTCTTGTCCGACGTATTGTATCGCTGCTTCATCTTGAGCTTGTTGTGAATTAGGATCCCCCGATCTTTTTCAGAAGAACTGGTATAAAAAAACAGTGTCTAAAGGGCAGCTAGGTGGCGCAGTGGAAAGAGCACCGGCCCTGAAGTCAGGGGGACCTGAGCTCAAATGCAGCCTCAAACCAAACCCTTGACACTTACTAGCTGTGTGACCCTGGGCAAGTCATTTAACCCCAATTGCGTGTGTGTGTGTGTGTGTGTGTGTATGTGTGTGTGTGTGCATATATATATAGAGAGAGAGAGAGTGTATGTGTGTGTGAGCATATATATATATATATATATATATAAAGAGAGTGTGTGTGTGAGTGTGAGTGTGAGTGAGTGTGTGTGTGTGTGTGTGTGTGTGTGTGTGTGTGTATGTGTGTGTCTAGAATGCTATGGCTTCAATGAACTCAGGATGGCCAGGAAAGGGACAGACAACAAAAGAGGTCTGGGTTATTTTAGCTCTATTGGGAGAAAAAAAGGACAAAAACGGAGTGGGACCTCTGCCTATCCGGTGGGTGATAACAGAGAAGGCGGACCAGCTCAAGTGTTTCTTTTTCTCTCTGTGGATGACCTTTACCTTGGAAATGACAGAACAGAAAGGACTAAAAGGGTCAATCCAGCCTCAGACACTCACCTGCTGGGTGACAGCAGGCAAGCCACCGCACCTCTGCCTGCCTGCCTCAGCATCTGCAAAATGGAAATAACAGCACCTACCTCCTAGGGTTGCTGTGAGGATTAAATAAGAGATCTGTAAATTCTATCTATGACCATTACCCAAGATAAGTAAAGAGAGAATAAGAGAGCATCTAGCCACCCTCTGTAAATCTCAGTCACCTTCTCTGACTGTAGCTAAAAGAACTGGAAGGTGGCATTAATGAGCTACTGGCAGGGACAATGGAAAGATCACTGAAAACAGGAGAGGGGCCACAAAATTGGAGAAATGTCCCAATTTTCAAAAAAAAAAGAGAAAACAAAGACTGCAAACTAAAGGCCATGAGCCTGATTTCAATTCCTGGGAAAACTCTAAAAGAAGGGTTCATTTAATAGGGGGCTGGCAAAACTGCTAGAACAGGATCCAGACGTGCCCAAGAGCCAGCCTAGCCTCATCAAGAACAGGTCACTCCAGAGGAACCTCATTTCCTTGCCGGGCAGGGTTACCAAGCTAGCAGATGGCAGGAATGCTCTATCGTTTACATAGATCTTAGAAAAGGTTTTGATGAAGTATCTCCCCTTATTATTATGGAGAAGATGATCCTAGCATTTGGATGGCCAGGCTCAAAGAACAGTTACTGGTTCAATGTCAACAGGGCAGGAATATTATAATGTTTAAGGACTCCACCAGGGATTGATGCCTGGCCCAGTGCTATTTATCTTTCTTATCAATGACTTGGATAAAGACAAAGGCAGTAAGGTTAGCCAATCTGCAGATAACTCAAAGCTGGGAAAGATATCTAACACTTGGGATGACAGGATCTAAAAGGATTACTGGATGGAATCAAAGATGAAATTCAATGTGGATAAATGTAAAGTATTTCATTTGGGTGCAAGAAATTAACTTCACAAGTCAGTCGATAAATATTTATTAAGTGCCTACTATATTTGAGGTTCTGTGCTAAGAGCTGGGGACTAAAAATGAAAAAAGACAGTCCCTGCCTTCAACAAGTTTACAATTTAACACCTGACAAGAAGTTGAAAAGAGGCATGAAGCTAAAGTCAAAGAAGTTCCAAAGTCATGCAGCCATGTGAGAAATGAGGTGGTGTTCTGAGCCGACCTCCCTCCTAAAATAGAGGGTTTGGAGTTCATGAGGAGCAGGTCAAACCAAGGCTGATGGGATCTTGCAGGATGGTGAGGATTTCCCCACAATGAGCTTCCTGGAGCACGTGAAGTTAGAGAGGTCCCAAAGTAATGCCAAAAAAAAAAAAGTGGATGGGACCTTGGGATGCATGAAGAGCTGCATAACTTTGAAGAATGGGGAGTTTATTCCAGTCATGTTCACCATCATGAGAGGCTGGTCATAAAGGACTTTCAAAGTCCAACAGGGAGTTTATACTGGATCCTAAGAGCAACAAGGAGCCACCAGTATTTAACGGGCAAGGGAGTAAGGGAAGTCATTTTGGCAACTGTGTGAAGGACCTGAATGGGCAGAGGGATGTGTTCCTGAACTAAAGTGGTGGCTGTGAGAGAGGTGATAGGGCAACAAAGCCACAGAAATGACAAGGTTTAGCATCTGACTGAATATACAGGATGAGGGAGAATGAGGAGCTAAGGTTAATGCCTGGGAGAATGG